CCCCTTAGCTCCAGCCGGAGCTTGAAGCACGCCTCGGTGAAGGCGATTTCCTGAGATCTAGGGACAAGACGACCGCTGCTGCCTTTTCAGAGGCGTCAGGCTTGAGCGTCTCTCTCTCTTTCCCTCTCTCTCTCTCTCCCTCTCTCCAGGAGGGGTGGAGGAGCTTGCAGCGAGGGAGCGGGAGCGGGAGGAGAGGGAGAGGGCCGGACTGCGTGACGCCGCGCTGTGCCCGAGGGCGGGAGGGAGGAGCTGGCTCTGCGCAGCACCACGGACAGCGCCCCGGGCCGGGATGTCGGGATGTTGTAGGGGAGCCGAGAGGCAGCGGGCCCGGGGTGCTGCAGAGGAGCTGGGATACTGCCTGCGGGGCCCGGGCTTCTACCTGAGCGACCCGAGATGCGGTGGCAAGGTCGGGCTTCCACCTACCTGGGCAGCACCCCCTGGCCAGGGAGCCCGTCCTGGGCGGGGACCTGCCCCAAGCGCCTCTGACTTGTCACCACCCTCCTCCTCCCTCCCCCATCCGAGAGAGAAGGCGAGACAGGGAAACCAGAGACCCGCGCAGCTTACTGAGCATGCCCAGGCCCTGCTGAGGCGATCCCAGCGCTCCGGGCTTTCCTGGTGGCGGGCGGGGACGCACGAGGGTCCCGGGGAGGCCAGACAGCCAAGGGAGGGGATTCAGGTGCAGTGCAGGCGCCGCGGACTCCAGCAGAAGCCGCCGGCGGTCCGAGATCTAACGTCCCTGCCCCGCCCCTTACGGATCCCCGGCCCGAGGGATCACAACAGATTTTTCACGACCTGCCCAACTTGTACCAAAAGGACGAGGAACCCACCGGGTTTACGCGCGCACTTGGAGATCCGGCTCCGGCGTCCGAGTAGGTGCAGGTCGCTGCAGCCTCTCGTCTTCCAGCTTTCTGTGCTCTGCCTCGGCCGTGAGCATCCTGAGAGGAACCAAGTTCTCTACCTGTTTAACTCTCCCCTCGTTCTCCTCCTTCCTTTTGCAGCTGGTAAAACCTGGAGAAAGTGAGACTCTGCGAGGTCCTCACCGCGTAACTGGGCATGCCCAGTGTGCAGTGCCGGTCTGGGGAGAAAGGAGTTAACTCCAGGGGAGCTTGCAGATTAGGTGGCAAAGTCTGAGTCTGTGGCTATAAATGATGGCTTGAGTCCTGTGGACATTTACATTCTTGTTCTTGTTATATTTCTACCCCGGGTTAGTTTTGGAGAAGAAACAGCAGATATTTTTATTTCAACATCACAAACCCAATAGCCTCAGCCTCAGATGCCA